AAACTCCTTTTCACAACTTTTGTATAAACTCCTTCAGCTTTTCTTTGTTTATGGAAACTCTGTCTCTCCAATTCTAAAGGACAAGTTTGCTGGATAGAGCATTCTTGGCAGTTTTTTTTTTTTTTCTTTGCACACTTTGAGTATATCGTTCCTATCCTTTATGGGCTGCAATAATTTGCTGAAAAATCTGTTAATATTATGGGGATTCCCATGTATAAACAAGTGGCTTTTGTCTTCTTGCTTTTACGATTCTGTCTTTAATTTCTGAAAATTTCATTATAGTGTGTCTATGTGTAGATCTCTTTGGATTACTCTTCTTTGGACAGTTTTGGGCTTCATTGATCTGGATATCTCTTTCTTTCCCCACATTAGGGAAGTTTTTAGGCATTATTTCTTTGAATATGCTCTCTGCCCTTTCTTTCCTTCTCGTTCCTGAAGACCTGTAACGCATATATTGATCCACTTACTGGTGTCCCTTATGTGATCTTCACTTTTTTCTATTCTTCTTTCTTTTTGCTCTTTTGATTAGATGGCTTTCACTGCCTTGTCTGATTCTTTCTTCCATTTGGTCTAGTCTGCTTGTGAAGCCCTGTATTGAATTTTTCAGTTCATTTATTCTTGAAATCTATGATTTCTGTTTGGTACTTCTTAATATTTTCTGTCTCTTTGTTGAAACTCACACTTTGCTCATGCTTTATTCTCCTGATGTCAGTAAGCATCTTTATTACCATTATTTTGAACTCTGTTGGGTAATTACTTATATCCACTTCATTAAGGTCAGCTCTTAGAGATCTGTTTATTTGTTTGAAACATCCCTGTTTCTTTACTTTCCTTGATTCTCTGTGTTGTTTTTTGTATAAAACAGCCCCTTTTCCCAGTTTAATCTGTGTTGTGTAGGATATGAACCTCCTTAGTCAGCTTGGCCTGGTTGTTGAAATCATTGTCTTTGTTCTTAGTGACTTCCAGCAGTTGAGGGTGTTCCAAGACCCATCAATGTCCTCAACGATGTGGTTAATGCTCATATGCCTGTTTAGGCTTCTGGACAACTGCCAGTTGCCTGCCGCTTTAACTCCCTGTTGCAGGTTAATTGGAAGCCTAATTATCAGGTAGGAGCTGGAAAAGTCAGAATATGACATATGTAGTCTAGCCCCTATGAAGAAGAATCCAGAGCTGGAAGAGTTTCTTCTTCCTCACTCTGTGCTGAGCCGAGGGAAATAATTGCTCTGAATGCTTCTGTGTCCAAGTAAAAGAGCCTTTGTTTTTAGTGGTCCCAGGGACTCATGAAGGCTGAACCCTTTCAGCTCCCAGAGCTAGGTGAATTGGGGGCTAGTCCCTTAGGTGGCAGTTGAAAACTGGTGTGCTATATGTGTGGACAAGCTCCTTCCAAGAGAGAAGATAAAAATTTGGTCTTACTTGGAGCTGGGGGAGATAGCAGGGGACATGCCCACCAGCTTTACCAGGCTCCCAAATGGATCCCCGTCAGCTTCCACATGCAGACTAACTGGAAGCCAGAATGACAGGCAGCAGCTAGGAAAATAAACAGTTTCCTTCCAGGGAGAAACATTCTTGCTGGGAGATGGGCATTTTTTTGTCGTCTCCCTCCATGCTGGGTCTGGGTGTGTAGATATGGGGAATCCTCATGCATCCATTTAAACACTGCTTCTTTGTTTGCTATAGTACTGTGGTGCTCAGGAATGCAAGCCCAATTGACTTTCAGAGGTAGGTTATTTTGGGGTCCATCCCTCAGGTGGCAGTTTTAAAAGTCAGGGTTCTAAATGTGTAGACAAGCTTCCTCCAGGGACATGCTGGAGGATTTGGCTTTATTGTTGAAGGAAGCTGTGGGGAGAGGGCAGAGTAAGTACCCACTGGCTCTTTTGGGCTCTGGGCAGGATTCCAGTCAGCTGAAATGCAAGCTGATTAGAAGCTGGACCCTCAGACAGTAGCTGGGAAAGTCTGTAGTCCAACACCCTCCAGGAAGAAATTGGGAGATAAGCATTTGTGTGTGTTCCCTCTGCTCTGAGCTTGGGGACATAGCCAGAGGGAGTATTCAAGCACCTTGTAAAAACTGCTTATTTGTTTGCTCTAATACCATGGGATTTCTGAAGGGAAGCCCTTTTGGCTCTCAGAGCTAGATGATTTGAGGGCCCATCCCTTAGGCAGCAGCCTTAAAATTTGGGACATTAGAAATGTGGTGCAAACACTGCACTAATTGGGAAGAGGCTAGGAGTTGGTGGTTTCAGAAAGATTATAAGGCACTGTTCTTGTGTGGGGTTTATAGTAAGGGTGTGTCTCGTCCTTTCCTACACATTTCTGAGTGGGTATTTTCTCAGTTTCCCAATGTGTAGGAGTCACTAAAGTTAGTTTCTTGATATCTTTCAGAGGGAATTTATCTGTGTGTAGTTGTATATTCATGCATCCATGGAAGGAGGGAAATTCAGGAATCTCTTCTGTGTCCATCTTGAGGTACATGTTGATCTTTTCTAATAGCCGACTCCTGGTTTCCTTGACTTTCTATATTGTTTTTCTGTTTTGTTTATGTATGCTGTAATATTTATTATTTTTCCCATCTGCTGGCCTTGGGTTAAGTTTTTTCTACTTCCTTAAGGAAAATGTTAGATTGTGGATATGAGATGTTTATTGTTTTTTAATGTAAGCCTTTACAGCTATAAATGTCCCTGTCATCACTGCTTGTGCTCCATCCCATAAGGTTTGCTATTATGTATTTTTTTTCTTTGGTCTCAAGGTATTTTGTAGTTTCTCTCATAATTTCTTCCTCGATCCATCGGTTGTTTAAAAGTGTGCTGTTTAATTTCCACATATTTGTGAATTTTCGTTTCCCTTCTGTTACTGACTTCCACTTTTATCCCATTGTGATGGAAAAAGATTCGTTGTGTGATTTCAGTAGTTTTAATTTTTATTAAGAATTGTTTTGTGGCCTAACATATGGCCTATTCAGGAAATGTTACACGTACACTTGAGAAAAATCTGTAATTTACTGTCTTTGGGTAGAGAGCTGTGTATATATGTGTCTGTTAGGTCCATTTGGTTTATACTGTTGTTTAAGTCTTCTGTTTCCTTACTGATCTTCTGTGTGGTTGTTCTCGCCCATTTCTGAATGAAGACTATCAAAGTCTCCAACTCTTACTGTTTCTCCTTTCTGTCAAGGTTTGCTTCATCTGTTAAGGAGCTCTGGTACAAATGTTTATAATTTTCATTTTTTCTTACAGAATTGATCCCTTTCTCATTATATAAATTCCTTCTTTGTTCCTTGTAAAAGGTTTGACTTAACATCTAGTTCATCTGATATTAGTATAGGCACCTTGTTCCCTTTTGCTTACTATTTGCATGGGATATTTTTCCATTCTTCACTTTCAACCTGTGTATGTCCATAAATTTAAACTGAATCCCTTGTAGACAGCATAGACAGCTTATAGTTGGATTCTGATTTTTATCCATTCTGTCAGCTTATGCATCTTAATTGGTGAGTTTAATCCATTATACTTAAAGTAATTACTGATAGAGAAGGACTTTTTTGCCATTTGTGACATTTGTTTTCTGTATGCTTCATTAAATTTTTGTCCCTTCCTTATTGCCTTTTGTGGTTTTTTTTTTTTTTTTTTTGGAGTGACACATTTTGATTCCCTTCTCACTTCCTTTTCTGTATACTTTGTAAATATTTTCTTTTGGGTTATCACAGGGATTACATACAATATCCTAAAGTCATAACAATCTGTTTTAAACTATCAACAACTTAACTTCAATAACATACACAAATTCTACTCCTTCACAGCACCACTCCTCCAGTCTGTTATTGATGTTAAAAAATACATCCTTATATATTGTGTATCCATTAACATAGAAATTATGTTAATTTTTAATTTTCTTACTTTTAATCCCTTAATATATAAAAAGTGTGATTACCAACCCACGTTGCAATACTCATGTTTTTTATATTTCCCCACTAATTTACCTTAACCAGAGAACTATATATTTTCTTCTAGCTTTAAGCTACTTGTCTAGCATTTTATCATTTCAACTTGAAGGACTCCCTTTTGTATTTCTGGTAGGGAAGGTCTAATGATAGTAATTCCCTCTAAGTTTTGTTTATGTTGGAATGCCTTAATTTCTCCTTTATTTTGAAGTACAGTTTTGCCGATATAGGATTTTCTGTTTATAAGGCTTTTTTTTCCCTCCAGTACTTAAAATACATCATCCCAGTGCCTCCTGGACTGCAAGCTTTCTGCCAAAAAATCTGCTAAAAATTTTATTTGACATAATTAATACATGATATCTCAATTGTCTATTGTTTCTTTCAAGAGTCTTTGTTTTTTCTTTTTGTCAGTTTGATTATAATGTGTTTTAGTGTGGGTGTATTTGATTTTACCCTACAGTTCATTTAACTTGTATTTTTCTATCCAAGTATTTCACAGTTTGGGAAGTTTTTGTCCATTATTCCTTCAGACGAGGTTTCTGCTGTTTTCTCACTCTTTTTTCTTCCTGGATTCCCCTAATGTCTTCATTTTTGTATTCCCATAATTCCATTAGGGTCTGTTCATGTTTCTTCATTGATTTTCCTTTTTGCTCTGAGAACTAACAATTCCAAATGATTTGTCTTCAAGTTTGCTGATGACTTCCTCTGCCTGTTTCAGTCTGCTTTTGAACCCCTTTTGTGAAATTTTCAATTTAGTTACACTTTTAACTCCACATTTGCTTCTTTTTTTTTTTCTGATTCAGCAGCTTATTTAATCAACAGTCCACCTTTCAGTATCATCTTTTAACACTTCCATGGGTTTGGTAGAAAGCAAATTCATGACACTGAAAGAGTAGTAGGTCTCCCAGCGATGGTCTGAAAGTTCCAAGTAGATTCTCAAATCTTCATTGTCACTGAGGAAGTAATGAGACAATTGAACATGTCTGATTCCTAAAGTTCCTGCAGTGATCTGCATATTCTTTAACACTCAGATTTCCTAAGTAGGTTTTTCAAATAGTATGTGAAGAAGCTATTGCTGCACCTCCTTTTGAATGGTATCTTCTGCTTCATTTGGATTTTCAACACCAATAGGATATGGTGCTCTTCCTAAAAGAAACTGTTCCCATTTGGGAATATATTCTCCTACTGATGCCCAGTAAAGAGTCTCAAGAGAAGCCACCTCAGGCGGTGGAACTGGATGATTCTGGGTCTGTAGAGACTTCTCTGCCGCTTCTATATCCTTTAAAAGACTAAGGTTCCTTTGCAAAGCAGTCTCAGCTGTTTGCATCTGAGGGGTCTTTTCCTTGTTTTGATCTCCAAGTTTATTCTCCATTTGTTGAAGTAACATTAATCTTTGTGATACTATGTCTTCATGTCTTTTAGAAAGGCGAATTTCTTGATCAAACAGGGACGTCATCTTTAATCAAAGCTGCCTTTATAAGCTTTCTGCTAAATAATAACATTTAAAGTTACTTCTACCACATGTCCTCAGCTTTGCAACATTTGATCATTCAGCACCTCGATCCACTGGTTCTCTCAGAAGGGAAAATTACAACTTGAGCTCTTCCGGGAGGGCGCCGCCGACTGTGTGGACGTTAGGTCTCGATGCAGACCTGGGCCCACATTTGCTTTTTTAAAATAAATTCTGTCTCTTTTTTGATATTCTCACTTTGTTGATATATCATCTTCTTGATTTCCTAGGCAGTTGTTTTCAAGAGTTCATCTAGCAACTCTGAAGCCTGTGTTTCTTTAGTGTCACTTTCTAGAGAGTTATTACGTTCCTTTGAATGGGCCACATTTCCCTGTTTTTTTCTGTGTTTTGTGAGCTTTTGTCAAAAATTGCATATTGAAAAAAACAGCCACCTCTCCCAGCCTTGTAGACTGGATACTTGCAGAGGAAGGCCTTCACTAATCAGCCTGGTGTAATGACTTAAGGTCTTCTCAGATCTTTTCTGAGGATGTGCCTTCACTGGACCTGTATATGAAGCCCAGCCACAGCCCCCTAATTCTGCCACACACAGAGTTGCTTTTAAATGTTTCATTTCCCCAAGAGCGTCACCCCTGTCTTCTTGGCCCTTAAATGTTCTGTTGTATTCCTCTGTCAGTAATCTCTGCCCTTCATGTGTGTGCAGGTCTACAGTTGCCATGAAGTGTTCATGGGCCATTGAATCCATCATTGCTTTCACAGCCGCCAATCTGATATACAAAATATTCCACTATTCCTATCTCAGCTGTGAGTCATGTGAGACAGAAATCAGACTCTCAGACATTGCCTGGCATGCCACACATTGCAATCAAGTTGCACTCTTTTACTTTTCTCCCAATGGAGGACCAGTAACTGGGCAGCTTTCACTGTACTGCACCATATTGAGTCAGGAATGGGTTAGGATAAGAGTGAGCAAAAATGTCACGAAATTTGCTATCATTTTGAGAGTGACTCTTTCTTGATTGTGCATTCATTTTGTTGCTTCAGATTACTGACTGGTTTCTAGAGCTCCCACAAAGCTGTTTGTATTCTATTGTTTAGTTCAGTGTTTTCATGGGGTTACAGACCTGGAGCTTCCTATTCTGCCATCTTACCTATATCACTGCTGTCCTTCATTTTTGGAAGATGGTTTTACCAGATATAGAATTCTTGGTTAACAGTGTTTTTCTTTCAACATGTGAATATGAAATACACCAGCCTTCTCCCTTGATGCTTTCAAAATTCTCTTTGTTGTTAGTTTTTGCAATTTTAAAATAGTGTTTTTGTGTAGATCTTCTGTTGGAGTTCACTGAGTTTCTTGGATATGTACTTTCATGTATTTTATCATATTTGAGGAGTTTGCGACAATTATCTCTTCAAATATTTTCCCTAACTTTCTATCCCTTTCTCTTCATGCAGGATTCCTATTATGGATATGTTTTCATACTTGATGATGTCTTGTAGGTATTTTATGTTATGCTCGTTATTCTTCACTCTTTC